ACTTGGTCATTCCAAAACATGAACTTTATTCTTCTTGAACATTCTTTTGTAGAACGACTCGTGTGCTGAGGGTCATTGTGTTGCTGCAGGACCCACCTTGACATTCAGTTCATGGACAGATGTTCTGACATTTTCCTTCAGAATTCTCTGATATAATTCAGAATTCATTGTTCCATCAATGATGACATCTGGCCCAGATGCAGCAGAGCAGGCCCAGACCATGATACTACCACCACCATGTTTGACAGCTGGGAGAAGGTTCTTCTGCAGGAATGCAGAGTTTTCCTTTCTCCAAACATAACCCTTTTCATTTAAACCTAAAAGTTCTACTTTGGTCTCATCGTCCACAAAACGTTCTTCCAACAGTCTTCTGGTTTGTCCACGTGATCTTTATCAAACTGCAGACGAGCAGCCATGTTCTTGTTGGAGAGCAGAGGTTTCTCCTTCAACCTGCCATGAACCATTGTTGTTCAGAGTTCTCCTGATGGTGGACTCATGAACATCAACATCAGTCAATGTGAGGGAGACCTTCAGTTGTTAGAAGTTACCCTGCGGTCCTTTGTGACCTCACTGACTATTCCACACCTTGGAGTGATGTTTGTTGGTCCACCACTCCTGGGGAGGGTAACAATGGTTTTGAGTTTCCTCCATTTGTCCACAATCTGTGTGACTGTGGATTGGTGGAGTCCAAACTCTTTACAGATGTTTTGTAACCTTTTCCAGCCTGATGAGCATCAACAACTCTTTTTCTGACCTCCTCAGAAATCTCCTTTGTTCCACAAACATGTTGTGAAGATCAGACTTTGATAGATCCTGTTCTTTAAATCAAACAGGGTGTCCACTCACACCTGATCATCATCCACTGATTGAAAACACCTGACTAATTTCACCTCCAGATTAACTGATAATCCTAGAGGTTCACATACTTTTACCATCACAAATATGTCATGTTGGATCATTGTCCTCAATAAATTAATGACCAAGTATAATATTTTTGTCTCATTTGTTTAACTGG